AATTGTGGATCTCGTCCACCTAGTTGAGGATCTGCTCGAGACGGCGAGCCTTTTCCACGTTGCCGGACTTTTAGAACATCTGCATCTGCGACCGCAGGCGTCGCATGGCATTGATCTTGTCCTTATCCATGAGCTGCAGTACGAGACAGAATTCCTCCTTCTTCTCGCGTGCTGCCTGGCGCTCGCGCCACACACGGTCTTCTTCGGCCAGAGTATCCAAATAAAGTTATGTCGGACGCATTCTTTTGCTTCGCGTATGCCTTGCGCTGCTGCTTGTGGTAGCGCTTCATCTCGTACTTTTCAATATCGTAGTATTCTTCGTGAGGCAACGTGCACGTATTGTAGTCTTTCATGTACACTTTAACGAGCTCCATGGTCTCCCATTCTGGTTCGTTGAACTCGCCCATCTTCTTGACATCGCGCCTGGAACGACACACTCTTGCTGTGGAAGTCTGACTCGCGTAAGATACCGTACTTGCCATATTCGTACTGGTTCACAGCGTGTTTATTTGTTGTCCACCTTGCTCTTATTGCTTTTCTCCTTATCCGTCTTGTGCCCCTTCCTGTCCTTCCGCGAGCTGCTGCACTGTGTTTCCGTTTCCTCCGAGATCTCTCGTCATCCGAGCTGTCGGAGCTAACAGATACCGAGTCCGACGAAGATTCCGACGATGAAGAACGCGAGTGAGACCGACGTCTGGAGTTGCGATGGCGGTGTCCGTGTTTCCTGTTGTTCTACTCTTCCTGTCCTCCTTTTCCGTTGGGCTGCTGCTACCGTCGTCCGAGTCCTCTCCCGTCCACATACACGATAAGTGCGCCACCTCCTCTCGGTTTTCGAGCTTCTGTTCTAGACCCTTTGCCTTGTCATGCTCTTCGTGGCGTCTAGGCTTACGCTCGTGTTCGCGATGGTGGTGACTGCGCTTCGAAGAGATCGAGCGACTCGCACCCCTGCTTCTGCTGCGGCTCCGACAATGTCTGTAATGTCTTCGACGCGCACTCGGCTGCGCGAACGCCGGTGGCTGCTGCTCTCTCATGCTCCATCAATGTGTTGTAGAATCCAAGCCGTTAAAGCGCACATAGCGGGAGAGCAATACGGTTATCGAGTGTTTATAGCAAATCACAGTATTGTTGATCATAATGGCCTAGGAGCAGGTTGACGACGCTTTAGTGGTGGTAACGTGCTCTCGCTGGGAGTGCGTGGCTACAGCTGTCAGACTTTCGATGAACCGGAGACGGCTGGAAGCTGCATCAGGAGTCGCTCCTGATTCCATGGCGTGGGAAGAGCGACGGCGACCTGCGCGTGGATCGCTTCGACGTGAGAAATATGTTGGAGGATCGGAGTTTGTTCCGACAGCTAAAGAAGAGAAAGCGAGTAGAGCCCGGAGGTAGAATGCCAGAGCTAAAAGTCGAAGGAGCTGGTAAAGGTGAAGAGGAAACAGAGCAGCAGATATGCATTGCCTGCGCTTCGGAGGTTACGCAGTCGAGTTCCCGCCGTCAGAGGAAACTTTCGCGACGGAGAACAAGTTTCCGTTCCACTACACAGAAGACGAAAGTGACGAGGAGAGTGATGGAGAAGCATTCGATCCACTGTGGGAGGTGCCAGACCAACTAGTAATGGTAAGAAGCTGACCGTGCTGATAGTTATTCCAGCACGTTGAAGTGGATTAATATTGTATTTGTAAAGCCAAAGACCAAGAAGCTGCACGCGATTATAGAGGCTACAGCTAACAAGGTGCAGGGTCATCCGCAACTGGAATCTATGCTGAAGGTACGAGGCCAATCGACATTGCATCTACGTGGCCTTGCTAAGAAGTTGTACGCTTTGTATTGATAGATCAAGCTCGGAGACAACAAGAAGTTCCGATTTTTAGGTGCCTCGCACGGGCTTCACGCCCACAATTTCTCCTTGCGCGACGAAAACCCTCAACCTACATCAAAGAAAAGTGCAGTCAATGTTTCGCTGTTAGGAGACGAGTATACGGAACCACTACACTCGAAAATGTGTAACAAACTCGATTTCTGTGTGCCCTTGTGACAGAGTGATGATGAAGCAGAAGAGTCCACCAAATATGGCATCAATCACGAGGATGACACACATGAACAACGTCAGCAAAAAATGTCTCGGCATCATCAATTAGACACAGGTAAGCGATTCTTAGAACATCGTTTTGTGCAATTTGTCTTGGTTCTTGCATCCTCCTACAACGCGATTTTACCGATGAGGCGCTTACGGGAACAATCGCTCCGGGTCACGCGGGAACATGGAGGTCATACGGATTTTGCCCAGATTCAGGTACGGCATGACACACGCTCCAGACCAATACACCTGCCACAGCCCCTACACGGATCGAGTCGATGTAGTTGCGCATAGACTCCTGAGGCACACCGAGCTCGCCCATGCCTGCATTAGCAGCTTGGGGTGGTGCACACGCTGAGCACCAGAGACGATCTCCTCGCCACGGATCATCATGAGTTGCTCCAACGCTAGTCCTTCAGGTCCGGCATCGTGGAGAACGGACGCACAGCCAGCGGGAACTTGTCGAGAATGTAGAAGTCGGTGTCCTACTTCTCCTTGACGAGGCGACCACCACATCTCGCTGTCCGTGCTCAGATCATCTTCAGACCCCTGCTCAGCGCCAGTTTCCGCATCTTTTCATCTACTGGACAGGCAGCGTCCTCCACTTGGAAGGGCAATCTTGACGGAGCCTTTTGCTGACAACGAAAACTTCTCAACGTTGAGTTCCACGTCCTTCTGCTTGGTGCTGAGCAGGGGACCCGTGAGCCTGACGAACATATCAACGACGAAATTTTTGGGCACACCGGCCACGAACTTTTAATCATGGGACACAAACCTTGTCGCTTTCATGCAGAATGGCCTGGATCGTGGCCATCCGCTCACGCAAATTGAAGAAGGGGGTCTTCGACTTTGCACGCACGACCTGTAGGTGACCACGGACCCAGAAGCTCTCACCCTGCAGTTTCAGATTCAGGTCCTTGACGCTGCAACATTGAAATATACTGTCAGGTCCGT